AGGGAAAATAATTATCTAACAATTTCAAGGGTGCACTTAGTCCAAGAGGCCAATCCTTCTTCAAAATACTAGGCAAGAGGAAGAACTGAAGAGTTTGATTAGTCTAAATCTTTTCTGTCATTCCTAACCCTTCCCAACCTTAAGAACGTTCCTGCTGCTGTTCTGTCATTGTCACATGGTGATACCATTGAAAGCGGGGGTTCTATGCAATCCAAAGCACCCTTTTCTTTTTCCAGTGCTATAGTAACACACATTAATTTATGTTTTGCTGGGCCCAAAGTCTATCTTCCAAGGTTACTTTTCTTTAGAATATATTTATCTGCTTGATCTACCCTGACCCCCAAAAAGCTCTTCCATCAATGAGTATTTCCAGTGGAGGAGTATCTTTTGCAAATAAAGGACGGCCAGATTGCCCTCTCTTACCAGGGCGCTGAACACAACTATGTACGTTTAAGTAACTAACAGGGGCTACTGCAGTGTTTCTTCCAGAAGAAAGAAACTCTGTTTCAAGGCAGCTTGTTGCTTGCATCATGTCAATAGCAACTTCTGCTAAAACAAAAAACAAAAAACAAAAAAACCAATTCTGCTTATCCAGGTACTCCAAAACATTGTAATATTGATGAGGAGGGACCAGGAAAAGGAAAGGATGAAGACTTAAGAGAGGAGGGGTGAGGACTAGAGCAAGATCCCTGAAGGCATGAGGCAGTGGGATCCCAGCACATGTGGGAGGGGTTGGTCTTGACAAGAGATTTGCTTCTCCCCTCTCAGGAGGGAAGTGTGGTTGTAGTTCCAGATGTGTGATGATGGGTTTGTGGATAAGAGATAAGCTCCATTTCCCTTATTTTTGTCTGTGGACAGGAAGCAAGGTCATTTGCTGACAGTAAGGAGGTAATGGGTAAGGGTGGGTTTCAAAGATTTTTGAGAATGGGTGGGTTTGGGTGAGCCACTGAAGAAGATGGGAGAGAATGCTGACCTAGAATAAATTGGGCTTAGAACCAGCATTTGGGGCCCAGTGGAGGCTGACATCCTTGAATTCACATGCTGCTGTCTCGGCTTTGGATGAATTTTCTCTCAGTATACACCAGCTTCTAGCTGGCTCTGTGCATTTCCTGACTTGCTAGCCAGGACCCCCACCCCTTCTTCTCCCACTTGGGGAATCATTGAAATCCAAGTGATGTTACTATAGAAATGACCCTAAATATGTGTTTTTTGTTTGTTTCTGAGACAGAGATCAGCATGATCTCAGCTCACTGGAACCTCCACTTCTCTGGCTCAAACAGTCCTCGCATACCAGCCTCCTGAGTAGCTGGGACTACAGCCACATGCCATCACACCTAGCTAAGTTTTGTATTTTTTGTAGAGATGGGGTTTTTCCATGTTGCTCAGGTTGGTCTTGAACTCCTGAGCTCATGTGATCTGCCTGCCTCTGCCTCTCAAAGTGCTGGGATTACAGGCGTGAGCCGCTATGCCCAGCCTGAATGTGTTCTGAACATTCAAAAACAAATAATATATTAATGTCGGAATGTTGATATTTGACTTGATTTTGTCCCTAATATGTTGAGAATTGCCATTCTAGAAGCTTCCTCCAGTCTGGCCTGCAGTGCCAGAATCCTGGACTAACCCTGAATCCCACATTTCAGGTGTTCATTTGATATAAACAATGTTGGATTTTCTCTTAGGACATGTAAAACCTGATTAGTCAAATGGCTCTGTTTCTTTTCTCTGTTCTGTTTTTAAAATCGGTAATCTTTTCAGATGGTTGAGTCTTTCTTTTTTAGGCAGCAATTTTTTTCTAACATGCCACTTGTGAGATTCGTCATCTTCAATGTGTCATTTAAAAATTGTTATACTAAACATCTGACATACTCTTTTTGTTTCATCTCTTGGTATGTTAAATAGAATTGGTCCTGTTTTTCCTTTGGTTGGAAAAATTCTTTATCATTTATTATTTTCTATGAGCATATTAAAACAAGGGGAAAAGATTGCTCAGTTATCTATAAACTTAGTACTTAAATATGTCAGAAAGCAAAATTAAGTAGAGTGGAGAAGAGACTCATTTCTATTTTCTTATAGCAAAACTTAGCTCAATTCTGTTTCCTTATAGTAAAACCTTCTCCCTCTCATATACATTTAATAATGAGATTTGACTGTTTTGCTGGGCATTCAAGGCCTTGCATGATCTAACCCTACCTACCTATTTAAAATTTATTTTGGCCAAACATGGTGACATATGCCTGTAATCCCAGCACTTTGAGAGACCCTGCCTCTACAAAATATAAAATAAGTAAATCAATAAAAAATTTTTAAAACACTCACAGAATTTATTTTGGCACTTTCTTATTTATTTATTTATTTATTTATTTATTTATTTTGAGACGGAGTTTCACTCATGTTACCCAGGTTGGAGTGCAATGGCGCGATCTCGGCTCACCGCAACCTCCGCCTCCTGGGTTCAGGCAATTCTCCTGCCTCAGCCTCCTGAGTAGCTGGGATTACAGGCACGCACCACCATGCCCAGCTAATTTTTTGTATTTTTAGTAGAGACGGGGTTTCACCATGTTGACCAGGATGGTCTCAATCTCTTGACCTCGTGATCCACCCGCCTCGGCCTCCCGTAGTGCTGAGATTACAGGCTTGAGCCACCGCGCCCGGCCTGTCACTTTCTTTTTTAAAAAAATTTAGTTTATTTACGTTCTGGGGTACATGTGCAAAATGTGCAGGTTTGTTACACAGGTATACATGTGCCATGGTGGTTTACTACACCCATCAACCCATCAACCCATCATCTACATTTTGTATTTCTCCTAATGCTATCCCTCCCCAATGCCTCCACCCTCTGCTATCCCTTCCCTAGACCCCCACCCCCTGACGGGCCCTGGTGTGTGATGTTCCCCTCCCTGTGTCTATGTGTTCTCATTATTCAATATCCACTTATGAGTGAGAACATGTGGTGTTTGATTTTCTGTCCTTGTGTCAGTTTGCTGAGAATGAGTTTCCGGTTTCATTCATGTCCCTGCAAAGGACATGACCTCATCCTTTTTTATGGCTACATAGTATTCCATGATGTATATGTGCCACATTTTCTTTATCCAGTCTATCATTGATGGGCAAGTCTTTGCTGTTGTGAACAGTGTATTTTGGCACTTTCTTTTCTGCACTCTGTTCCACAGTCACTATTAGTTTAGTGCCTTTGCCCTGGTCCCATAGAAACATGTTCCAGTTCTTAGCATTAGGTAGGGTTTCTCAGGTCTAAGCAGCCACTCATTATTTTTCAGCCACTTTATATATCCCTTTCCTGCATGAGAAGTAAAAGTTGTTATTTATCGATATGCTTTGGCTATCTCTCCACCCAAATCTCATCTTGAATTGTAGCTCCCATAATTCCCACATGTCATGGGAGGGACTGGTGGGAGGTAATTGAATCATGGGGGCAGGCCTTTCCTATGCTGTTCTCTTGATAGTGAATAAGTCTCACAAGATTCGATGGTTTTATAAAAGGGAGTTCCCCTAAACAAGCTCTCTCTTGCCTGCCACCATGTAAGACTTGACTTTGCTCCTCATTCACCTTCAGCCATGATTTTTAGGCCTCCTGAGCCATGTGAAATTGTGAATTAATTAAACCTCTTTCCTTTATAAATTACCCAGTCTTGGGTATGTCTTTATTATAAGTGTAAGAACAAACTAATACACTTGTCTTAAATACTAACGTACTCAACAGAATATATCTATATATAACAAATTCACACAAACTTATTTATACTCCTAGTTGCCATGAGGGGTTCACAATGAATGTGTCCTCGTCCTTTGACCTGCCCTGGCCAGCAATCTGATTTGCAGAATCTATGGAAATCAGATTGCTGGCCAGGGCAGCTTTCCTGAAGTTGATGCTAGAGCCCAGATTTTAATGGCAAGGTGAAGCTGTATAAACAAGGTACAGAAAGCTGTTCTGGGGAATGGATCAGCTGTGGAAGACATGAAGTCCTGTAACACAATGGTGACCATCAGATTTTATAATCGGCTCAATATTTTGTAAGATTAAAGTACAAGGAGATGATTAGTGGAAGATTACTCTAGAATGGTAGGTAAGGGCCAGAATAGTGAAGGCCACAGAACTGGTAATAGGGGATGTGAGAGAGGCTAAATAGGCCCCTTCCCCTTATGCCTACAATGCACACTTCCCCTAGGGTTGATGGGGAATCTGCCAAAAACAGCTTCTATCTAGCTCAGTCTTCTAGCAGAACGTCTGGTTAATCACTTATGATAGCTGGGTGTGGTGGCTCACGCCTGTAATCCCAGCACTTTGGGAGGCCGAGGGGGGTGGATCACAAAGTCAGGAGATCAAGACCATCCTGGCCAACATGGTGAAACCCTGTCTCTACTGAAAATACAAATTAGCTGGGCATTGTGGCGCCTGCCTATAATCCCAGCTACTCAGGAGGCTGAGTCAGAAGAATTATTTGAACTTAGGAGGCAGAGGTTGCAGTGGGCTGAGATCTGTGACACTACAAGCCAGCCTGGTGACAGAGCAAGACGTCTCAAAAAAAAAAAAAAATCACTTAGTGATATAAATACTCTTTAAGACACCATGAGGTCAGTAATTGTGTTATTTCCCAAAGAAAGCAACTCAAGAGGGTGGTGGTAATGTGGCCTTTACAAATGACTTTTTAGATAATGGACTTTTTTTTGAAAAGAATTGTTTTCTTAATGGTTAACTCACTGTATCAGAAGGTATATGGCTATATGGCCCAGAGATATGGGAAGTTTATTACTGATGAGATCCTGTTATTAGTCCTTTACTTAAAATAGTTGAATTATGCATCTTTAATTGCACTAAATGTCTTAATATGATCTGGAGGTAAATTTACAGTTTTCTTAACAATAAAATGGGGATTCTTAGACTGAAAACTGTGGGGCTTTTGAATTTATGAAAAAATGATGTATTACACTTGAAAATAGACAAGAATGCCCAACATAGATAATTAATAAATATTTTAAATTAGATTCTGCGTTCATGGAGGGAATATGACCTGGCAGTAATGATTATAAATTACGGGAAAAAAATGTTGGACATCACACCAGAAAGCAAGTCTCTGTTGGATGGTAGTAATGAACAAGAAGAAATGCCAGAGGAGGTAATTGTGTTTGTTTCTCATTTTTAAACCTATGTTTAGTTTGTGTCTTTAGGGGTAATATAGTATTATGAAACATATTAGAAAACTGATAAGTTTTACACTTGTTATGTTTACATATAAGTAAAGTAATCTATTAAAGAGCTTTTGGGTTTTGTCTTGTTTTTTTGAGTTATAGTGAAGAAAATTAAGAAGGAATCTCTGCTAGTATACTGAATAGTCCCCATCACCACTCCCAACCATCAGTTAGGCGATCATAGAGAGCTTCCTACACCCAGTTGGACATGGGACTTAAAAGCTCTCTAAAGTCTCTTCCAGATCTAAGATTTTACTGTTCTGGGTGGGTCATTGAATGCAGCAAATACATGTCAGAATTTTTTTTACTTTGTGTTCAAAGTCGATTTCTGAAACTCACTGTGACACCTACATTCTCTTATGAGACTGCTAATTTTTGAGATGAACTTTTAATATCTGCCTTCCCTTATGCTTATTGCCTTTCCTTGAAACTATGTAGTTACATATTTTTATAGATCAAGTTTTGAAATGTTACTTAGTTCATTTGGTTTCTTTCTTTCTTTCTTTTTTTTTTCTTTGTGAGACAGAGTCTCACTCTGTTGTCCAGGCCAGAGTACAGTGGTGTGATCTTGGCTTACCACAGCCTCTGCCTTCTGGGTTCAAGTGATTCTTCTGCCTCAGCCTCCTAAATAGCTGAGATTATAGGCATGTGCCACAACACTTGGCTAATTTTTGTATTTTTAGTAGAGATGGGGTTTCACCATGATGGCTAGGCTGGTCTTGAACTCCTGACCTTAGATAATCTTCCTGCCTTGGCCTCCCAAAGTGCTGGGATTACAGGCGTGAGCCACCGCCTAGGAATTACTTGAAGTAGCAAACTAGGAATTACTTGAAGTCCCTTTCATGGCTTGGATGGGGGTAGAGACTCTCATCCTTGACTCTGTTTCAGTTAGAGTAGCTCCATTTTTATCTGTGATATGTTGAATTTCCAAGTAAGCATTTGTTTGCCAAAAATATCTTTAAAATCACCACTGTTTTACTGGATGATTTTTTAAGCCATAATACCTTTTTTTTTTTTTTTTTTTTTTTTTTTTGTGGAGGGTTTTTTTTTTTTTGGGAATTTTGATTAAGCTGAAAGCAATTTGAAGGTTTTTTTTTTTGGTACCATGCAGTATCTACTCTCTGAGTCCATCAGCCCCTTTATGTCACCCAGGCCTTGACTTTGGGCCTTTCACATCATGGTAGGACAGGCCTCATACCTCTCTCCTTGAAGCTTATAGTTCAGTGGAGGGTTGTGATTTTTCCATCTAAGATTGTAGAGATAGTTAGTTTACAGTAGTCAGAAATTACTAGAGCTACTCAAGGTTCCTTTAAGCCTAAAGGGGCTTGGAAAGTTTTTTGGAGAACAAGAGACATTAACAGGTCAGTTCTCAGGCTCAGACAGAGAAAACATGGTCTTGAGCCTGAGTGCAGACAGGCGGATTCTTAATCCACTAATTACTGACCCCCTTACGTTTCAATGAAAGGCAAAGTGGCAAAGGTAATTAGCTTAGCTGTAAAGAAGCTCCTTCTGGGAAAAGGAAAGGAAAAAAAGGAATAAAGGGCTACATTTCTGAGGATACATTTCCTCTTTGAATTGTCTTTTCAAGATTTTTAGAGACATAGTCTCAGCTGCTTTGAATGCAGGTTTTGGAGGGGGCCGTCTAGGTGGGTGGAAATTACTGGGAGAAAGGGAGAGGGAAACGAAGGAGCGTTTTGGTCAATCTCCATGAAACACAGTGCTATGTCTGCATTTAATTAGAACACAATGACTGTGATTATTCATTGTTACTAATTAATATTATGTAGATCATAGTTTTTATCTACCAAATATGAAAGTATGAAAACATAATTTAAAGGATGTTGTTTGAAAATGACAGTTGTTCCAACATGTTAAAGTACATTTTGACATTTACCGATGTTTCTAGGATTCTTCTAAGAAGTCTTTAAAGACTAAGAAGCCACAGCAGATACTGTTGCCTGAAAAGATAAATGAACAGCTGGCTTTGTTGGAGACACACCTACTCAAACTGACAAAGCAATGTAATCATTTTTTTTTTCTGTATACTTCCGTTTAGCATTAAGTTTTTTAAAACAAGAAAATATTTTGTTCAAAGGATTACAATGAGATTAGCATTTGGTAAACCCTTTAAGATTTACACAGTGCTTTTACATTATATCATTAATCCTAACAATACCCTGTTAAGGGATTGTTAGCCACTTTTTACAGATGAGGCTCATAGAGATTAAGCGATTTACTTAGGATTACGTAGCTGGCTTGGACTTGAGCCTGCACCTTCTGATTCTAAAACAAGTTTTCTCAACCTCGACACTGTTAGCATTTTGGGCCAGGTAGTTCTTTGTTGTGGGGGACTGTGCTTGGCACTGTATGATTTTGAGTAGCATCCCTGGTCTCTACTCACAGAAGCACAGCACACCATCCACCTAGTTGTGACAACCATCTGGGTACCCTTGAAGGGAGAGTGGGAGGGGGTTATGGGAGGCGCAGAATTGAGAATCACTGCTTTAAAGGCAAAAATGCAACTGGGAAATAAAGGGATAGTGTGAAGGTTGTTAATGTGTAAACGGTTTGAACCAACACCTTCCAGAGTAGAAAGCAGAGTGAAAGATGAGTTTAATTTTAGGTCGTTGTACTGTAGTAATTTCAAAATGAACCAATGTGTTAATGCAATGATTGGTGTTTTGGAGTTTGCAGCCTGGAAAGCTACTTGGGAAATTGAGTTAGTTTCTGGTGATGATTAGTATTGTCACATTTTTAAAAAGCATGTACTTTAAATCTTCTAGAACAAGAAAGTACTCAAAATTGAGCCTTAAACCAAGTATGATAGTTGTTGCAACATGTTAAAGTACATTTTGACATTAAGCGATGTTTCCAGGGTTCTTCTAAGAAGTCTTTAAAGACTTTTGCTCCATGGCCTTTGGGGATCTGGCTGTGCTTGTAGAATTCCATGTCCCTACTTTACCTTTCCTACTGTGCACCTCAGTTCTGTCTTGTGGGCTTCACTGACTTGGATCTCTCTCTCTTTTAATATGTTCCACGCCTGTTTCAAGCATGGATTTATGACTTGAACTAAGTGTTTGATTATTCCTATAACTAGTTAACCTAGCTTTGGGAAAGCTGTAATCATCTTATTATATATAGAAAGTATAATTCCTTAAAATATACAGTGTTCTGGAAGTCTGAATTATTTATTTTCATAATATTGGTAAAAATATTTTACCAAGAAGCGCCATGCGCTATAAGTAGCTAAATGGCAAATTCTCCCTGGTGGTCTAATGGTTAGAAAAAGAATAGTAAAGTCAAAAACAGCAATAATAAAATGATAGTTTTGTACATCGTTTTCTGTGTGCCAGTCACTATTTTACAAAAAATATTATTTTTATAAAACATACACATTAAAACTTATGCAACCTGTATGTAAGAACCATATGAGAAAGGTACTATTATTATCTCCATTTTAAAGATGAATAAACTGAGACACAGAGAAACTAAATAACTTTCCAAGGTTTCGTAACTAAAAAATGTCATGATTAGAATTTGAACCCAGCCAGTCTGGCTCCAGTGGCTGTGTTATACTTTACTAGCTTTGAAAGATAATTTTACTAAAATGGAGTTAATATAATTGGTAGATTCCTGAGTCTTGGGTTTGCTGATATAGGACAGCTGTTGAATAAGAGAGAATAATGCCTTAGAAACTTTTTACCTATTTGGTGGTGGACCCCTTAGCTTTTAGGAGGAAAAGTGAAGCAGATAATTTAATTAGATTATTTTTGTTTCCAAAATGTAATGCTATAATTGACATTTTAAGGCACATAATTTAGAATATTTTAGTATTTTCCTGTTTTTCATCTCTTTTAAATAATTTTTATTTTGAATTACTCAAAAAATTTTTATTTTGGGTTATTAAACAGAACATACAATTTTTGAATTTTTTAACTTTAGATGTTACATCTGAACTCTCAGGAGGAGAAGACCCTATATTTCTTTATCCTGTAGTTGTGAATTGGTCAATCAAAGGTGCCGTGAAAGAAGGTAGGTGAACTGAATGTGTATGTGCTGTTCACTCAATTTATTACTGAAGATATTAATTCTGTGGATTTTGTTTCTGTTGTCTACTTGAAGATTTCACCTGTTTTAGACAGGTTATTTTGAATTCTTATCCATTCAGAGTAATGTGGAATCCTGATTGCCAAGTAATGAAAGAGACCTAAATAGGTACATGATTTAAAGTCTGGAAAGACAGAACCTTGATGATGGCTTATTACTATAAAGCTTACAAAAACTAGGGCATTGAAAAATCTATTGGTGGCCGGGCACAGTAGCTCACCCCTGTAGTCTCAGCACTTTGGGAGGCCGAGATAGGTGGATCACCTGAGGTCAGGAGTTTGAGACCAGCCTGGGCAACACGTAAAACCCCATCTCTACTAAAAATACAAAAATAAGCTGGGCATGGTGGTGGGCACCCATAATCCCAGCTACTTAGGAGGCTGAGGCAGTAGAATCACTTGAACTTGGGAGACAGAGGTTGCAGTGAGCTGAGATCGTGCCACTGCACTCCAGCCTGGGTGACAGAGTGAGACTGTCTCAAAAAAAGAAAAAATGAGCCAGGTGCAGTGGCTTACACCTGTAATCCCAGCACTTTGGGAAGCCGAGGCAGGAGGATCACAAGGTCAGGAGATCAAGACCATCCTGGCTGATATGGTGAAACCCTGTCTCTACTAAAAGTACAAAAAATTAGCTGGGCATGGTGGTGGGTGCCTGTAGTCCCAGCTACTTGGAAGGCTGAGGCAGGAGAATTGCTTGAACCAGGGAAACATAGGTTGCAGTGAGCTGAAAGTGTGCAATGGCACTCCAGCTGGGTGACAAAGTGAGACTCCCATCTAAAAAAAAAAAAAAAAAAAAAAAAAAAAAAAAAAAAAAAAAAAGAAAATAAAAAATAAAAAAAATATATATATATAAAAGTGAATTTCAAGTTTAGCTAATTAGAAATGGCAACATAATTGATTAATTCAGAGTCAAATATAAAACTTAGCATTCCTAGTTATGATAATTATCAACAATTTTTTTCCCTGGTCAGTCATGTGTTGGAAGTGACCTTAATGAAATCTTTCTCAATACTGAGATATTTAGAAAATAAATTTAATGTAATTTGTAAAGGATTCATTGATATTAGAAAAACAATAGTTCACACCACATTTATTCCTATATATTTTTTAAAATGGAGAAATCTAAAAAGCAAATTAATAAACTTGCCTGTTTGAACAAAATGACTGTTAGCACTGGCCACCCTTCAGTACTAATAATTGAGTATATTGGTAATTATATGTGAACTTCCTTGTTTTTACAGTTATGAAATTTAAGCAAAAACCAAGATTTCTGGAATTCTTTACACAAGTTATGCTAAAATGCATGAATGAGGAAAAATTTCATCTTGTGGTAGAGATAACAATTCCTGTCCATGACTTCTTGAAAAGGTACTTGCAATGATGAGTTTTATACATGTTAACAACTTTAAAAAATGAGTAACATTGTCAGTTTTAAGAAATATAAGGCAGATGAAGAAGAGAGTGGAGTACATACAGTTCAAACTACCCCCTAAGAGATAGTGAAAAATCCTATCTGTGTAAATAAATAAAAGTAAAAAACATATATACAATGAACTCACAAATGAGAATAGAGTATGTTCAGATCTCTAGCTGGAGATAGATTAAATCTTTTGCTATTGAGTCAGGATGGATAATAGTATCTCTAGGTCATCAGTTCTTTCTCACACAGTTCTTTTTGGGTCCAGTTTTGGTCATTTATCATGTTTCTAATTCTTCTGTGGTAACAAATAGAGCCATTTGTTGGGGTTTCCGTTTGCATATGTGAAGAGGGAGTTCCTCAAATAAAAGCAGTAAACCTTAAAGCTGTCCTTCCTATTCTTTAAGCCTGAATGATTCTCTTTGCTCCCAAAGAAAATGATAGTGCCTCACATCAATTATGAGAGATGCCAGATGAATCCAGCTTTTCTTCTAGCAACTGAGAGTGGGGTGTTCTTCACTGGGCATTGATCTATCCATCCCGTTTTAATAAAAGTAAACATCAGTGACATGAAACTTATTTTTGCAATGGCGGCAAAAGAGAAACATTCTCTTAAAAACATACAGAAAGATATTCCTAAAATAGGTACTTCATTTATTAGAACAGAAGCTTAGAGTATATGTGTACTTCATATTTTCAAAAAATAAAAGGAAATTGCTTATATTAAATGAAACAGGCCATGATAATAACAGAATTGCTCAGAATTAGAGTTTAAAATTTTTCAAACAGCAGTTAAAGTTAGATGTTTAGGAGGGTTAAATAATGTTCTTGATTCCAAAGAAAAACAGAAGATAACTTTCAATGTGCAGTCAAATTTGGAGGGCTGGCTGTGGAAGTCTAAACTAAGAATAAGAAATATTCTGAAAGAGGAGTATAAGGTTATAATACTGTATTTATACTGTACTTTTCTCATGTTCGGATATGTTTAGATACATAAATACTGACCATTGTGTTACAACATCGTCTACAGCATTCAGTATAGTAACACACTGTACAGGTTTATAGTCTAGGAGCAATAGGCTGTACTATATGGCCTAGATGTGTAGCAGGTGATACTATCTAGGTTTGCATAAGTACACTCTATGACATTCACACAATGACAGAATTGCCTAAGAAAGTATTTCTTACAACATATCCCTGCTGTTAAGTGACACATGACTGTATAAATAGCTAAAACAATGAAGAAGTCATCAGTAATATTGCTTTGCATAAAAATTTAAAAATACTATTTATCAAAATGTAAAGCCGTCAGTCAGAGCTCCACAGAGCAGTGCACACATCAAGGAGTAGAGGAATTTAATGTATTCAGTGGATGAAGGTTCTGCTGCACAAGAAGGAGAATGCTGAGATGGTGGCAAAGACTATAGTCTAAATGTGACCTCCTCTCCTTCCCATCTGTTTCTGGAAGAACGTAGCAACCACATCAAGCACCCTGGTAGTGAGGGAGAGAAAGAGGAGAGGCTGTAGAGAAGAGACCTAGCTGGTTGGAAATGAAAGGCCGGCCCAGGCTGCAAGTTGTGGAGGATGGATCCCCAAGTCTCTTATGGTCATTGATCAAAGGCTTCTAATTTAGGCAGCAAAACATTTGCCCAAATGAATGTCAACTAACTGGGAAATTCTTAGGATTGCTACAACTGAGCTGGGGCTCTAGACAACCATGGGATTAGGATCATTTTCATCAAAACTGAAGCAAAGGACCCAAGATGGATTTAGGTCAAGTTTCAATCCCTGGAACTAGCTATCCAGACTCACCCCGTCATTTCATTAGCCTTGCATTAATGAGATCCTACATTTTATTCAAGTTTGGGATCCCATTTATCATGTTAAGCAGCTTTGCTTTACCTGGCTAGTACACCGAAGAAATATAAATTCCCCAAAATATAGAAATTTCTGGAAAAATAGGCAAGTATTAATAAAGGGACAGTGTGAGGCTATCATATTGGGAAAAGGTGAACTCAGCTCCTGTTGGTATTCAGAGGGCAGCAGTGGCTGGGAGTTTGCAAAGCATAGAACCAAAGAATTGAAATCTGTTGGAAGCAAGGAAGCTTGTCTAGGGTTGCTTTTACAGCATTCTCTGAGCTGTAAGAGAAGTGTCCATGTTACTTTATTTTCAGTCCAGTTCTGTTCCATCTACATCATGCCTTCAACTCCTCTTTTTTTCCACGTTAGAAAACCCTGTAGGAGCTTTTATTATATGATTATGATATATAACATATTCTCTCATATATTATGTAATACATTTTAAAACTTATTCAGTCTCCTATAAATAGACATTTAAATTCTTTCTAATTTTTTATGATTGTAAACAGTGCTGCAAAGGACATTCTTATACATCTGTCCTTATGCATGTGTGAGAATTTCCGTAAAGATACAGGGCTGTAGTTTCCAAGATGTGAACATTTTAACATTATTAGATACTGCTAAGTTGCTCTTAAACTGTCATCAATGCTGTGAAAAGTTTCTATTATTCAACTCTTCACTGACACTCACATTTTATAATATGATTTACATTTTGCTCTTTTGAGAGAGCAGCTATTTCTTGATGATCAGAGATATCACAGTCTAATTTATGCATAGGATACAAGCAGTTTTGATATTCTTACATAATTTCAATGACAACCTTAAAGACATGTTACTTTGGGGTAGTTTTGTAAATTTTTGCAGGTCTTTTTGACTGACTTTATCTTTTTTGTTAGGAGAAATGAGTCTCTACTTGAAATAAAAAAAGTGAAACATAAGGACAGTGCTTTAAATAAAAAAGCAAACAAATCTTTAAAGTTCAAAGCTGCCGTAATGGAAATTGGAAGAGTAAGTTATTTATGAGTTTTGAATTTTAGGTAATGAAATTAAGAGATTCATTTATCTAGAGATGATTGGAGACATTTAAAACTCATTATACTATGAAACAGAAGGATATACCAACAACCATATTTCATAATTACACAATACAACATAATTTTTAGATTGACATAGATATTGTTATAATCAGATTTTTTTTTTTTTTGTTTACAGGGGTACTTCTGTTACCTTTGATAGTAATTTTAATTGAGGGTCTAAAGAAACTACTTTATTTCAATGTCAGGAGATAAGCATTAGGGTATGAATAAATTATACCACTGTGTTCAAAGTTTAAATTTAACGTGTAACATTTTTATCTCCTCTATTAAGAGTGCAGAAATTCAACAAAGAATAAGAAGTAAAAGAAAGGAAACTCTAAGAGATCTCATTTTAAAACATCCAGCTATTTCTGAAATGATGGCACATGAAAGGTATTAACTAATTAATTCAATAAAAGTTTACTTGAGCATGACTATGTTTTGGGCATTATTTTGGGTACTACGGATACACTGGTAAACCAGATAGGTGAAATCACTGCCTTTAAGGAACCAAATACTAATGAAAGGAGCATAGTAAATGCATAAATAAAGAAGACAGTTAAAAATGTTGATAAATGTTATGAAGTAAATGAAATTATTTATAATATAGAGTATTTGGCTCGGCGTGAAGGTGGTGGTGGCAATAGTTTAGGTAGGGTGGTTAGAAGAACAAGTTGAAAAATTAATTATCAGTGAACCTAAAGTTCTTGATTATAAAATGTGTTATGGCAAAATGTTTAGTTTCTATTTTTATAAGTACACATTATAAGTATACATATATAAGATTTTTTATTCTTATACATTTGTTATATATCTTACCTTCACTATGTGTTTTTCTATACCTGTTTAGTGATTTTGATTTTAATTTGTACCACATAGATATTAATAGAACCAATTCTGCTTTGTTTTTATTTGCATTTGCCTACTATCTCTTTGATTATTCCTTCATTTTCTTTATTTAAATTGCGACATATTTTAGATGGGTATAAAAATAATATAACAACTATGCAACTTAACGTAAAACCTTTCAAACACAATTGAAATCCCTGTGCACTGTTACTGGTATGCATTTCTGTTTTTCTCTATCCTGGAGATAATACTATCCCAAAATTTGGCATTTATCATGCTGATGAGTGACTTTGTATGTCAGCCTCATATGTATATAGCCTCAAATAATGCATGGTATAATTTTTTTTAATTTGCTTTGGAAATTTGCTTTTTTCTCTCAATATTACGTTTGTGATTTTTTTGAATGTTAGTTATACATGTCTAGTTTATTAATTTTACTGCTGAATGGTATTTCATTATATACCAAATATCACATAATAAACAAATTGTATAATAATAATATAATGCATTGTATTTATTTTATACATATTTATATATGCATAATACATATACATAATATAAATAACACACAATTTAGCATATACATAACATAATATAAATAATATATATATATTTATTACACATATACATTATACATTTTAATAAAAAATTTTAAGTGATTTATTCAGTCTCCCATAAATAAACATTTAAATTCTTTCTAACTTTTCACTGTTATAAACAATGTCACAAAGGACATTCTTTTATGTATCTCCTCATGCATGTGTGAGTTTCTGTAGGGTAAATACACAGGGTTGTGGTTTTTAAGATATGAACATTTTAGCATTACTAACTAGATATTGCTAAGTTACTCTTACATTTTTATCAATGTTGTGAAAAATTTCCATTATTCAACGTCTTCACCAACACTTGATATTATTACCACATTTTTGTGGAACTGTGTGGTGTGAAATTTTATCTCATTGTTGTTTCAGTTTTCATCTCCTTGATTCCTAAGGTTATGCATCTTTTCATATTTTATTAGGGCTGAGAGTTTTTCTAAAAGTTGTTTTAGCTACTCTAGGATCAATACCATTTCATATACATTTTAGAATAAATTTGTCTGTAATATGAATTTTAAAGATCTATTTCTTGTACCATTTCATATACATTTTAGAATAAACTTGTCTATAATATGAATTATAAAAATATATTTATCACTTCCCTCCTAAGTACCATATTTGCTTTGGGATTCAGAATGAATCCCTTTATCACATTTAGGAAATTGTCTTCCATTTTTTATTTTCTAAGAGTTTTGTTGTAAATTATGTTTAATTTTATTGAATATTTCTTTTTCATTTTTTTTTCTTTAATATGATTGTGTGATAAACTACATTATTACATAAATGTTAACCCATGTGTTTTTTGCTGATACCACTTCTGACATAAACCCTGTGCTGTTTTTCAGCACCAGCCAATCTTCAGCACCAACCAATCTCCAGCACCAACTGAGCCTCCCTATATGCACTTCATTGAATTTCTCCTTAGGATAACATCTTGTATAACCATAGCACAAAAAGACAGTTAGATGCTGATGCTGTCTACCTAGAGTTAGCAGCAGATCCCACAAGTTAAAGGGCTCAGTCCCACAACACTGCCACCACTTCAGAGGCCAGTCACAAATGTGATACCTAGGATACCCACACTTCTGACTATAAATTCAGAGATTCCCTCCTCAGGTTTGAAAATTTGTTAGAATAGTTCACAGAACTCAGGAAAATACCTTACATGTTTACTAGCTTAATATAAAAGATGCAAATGAATAGCCAGATCAAGAGGTATGTACCAAGGGCAAAGTCCAGATGGGTCCTGAGCACAGGAGCTTCTGTCCCTGTGGAGTTGGGGCACCACCCTCCTGGCTTATGGTTGTGCCTACCTGGAAGCACCCTGAACCTCCTTGTTCAAGAATTTTCATAACCTGGCTTGTAGCCACCCTCCCCTCCAGGAGGTGGGAGGAGTGGGACTGAGAGGTCTCACCTTCTAATCATATGTAAGATAACCCCTATTCTGAGGCTATCTGGAAGCTCCACCCTGAGTCACCTCCTTAGCATAAACTTATATATGTTCACAGGGACTTTGTGTGAGTAACAAATTTCTTTCACTCTGGAAATTCCAAGGGTTTTAAGACCTCTGTGCCAGAAATTAGGGGACAGGTACCAAATACATATTTTTATTATCCACATCATACTTGCACATTTTTACCAACAGATTCAATTTCTTTGAGATTAATACATCTCTTTGAGTCTCTAATCTTTTTTTGAGTTCCTTTTGATGAATTATATTTTTCTAAAAAATTGTCCATTTTATGAGTTTTCATATTTATTCATAAAAAGTTATACTCTCTTATTACCTTTTGACTGTGCTATATCTATAGTTACATCCTGTGTTTCATTGCTAAGTTCATTAATCTTTGTCTTCTCTCGTATTTTTATCCTTTGTTTTGCCAGAGGTTTGTTGTAGAAAATAAAAAGTTTCTCTTCAAAGTTTCCCTTGTTGTTAAAGAATAATAATAGTAGATGTTTGAAATAATAGTCTCTTTTAAAGACTAACTTTCTTCAAAGCCTTCTTGCTTTTTGCTAGTAACTCTGTTAAGCCCTATCCTATTTGGCTGTTAGATATAAAGAAATTAAGTACATTCTATGTCCTTGTACTTTAACCAAGATATTTATGTGTCGGACATGCTCACAGGCATGTAGTACATTCCATGTCCTTGTGCTTTCATCAGGATATTTATGTCATTTCTTTTCTAAGTCCTTTCGCAAGCAACCTCCCTTCCTTATTTGGACTTCCTCTTTTCCTTTGTTCTCAGTTGCCTTTACCTATTTAGAAAAGTTTTAAGTTGTTAGCCAATCGGGTTTAGTTTAGATTGTGAGGTCTGGCTCCAACCAATGGAGATTAGACACAGCAATAAGGACCCAATGAATAACAAATAAATATGCCTGCCTTTCCTTTGTTCATTGCACTCTCGTGGCAAGACTGCTGATGAGTAGTGCCCTTTCTGCAGAAAGTACAATTACCTTGCTGAGAGATCCTTTGTCTCAGTGCTGAGTTTTCTTTGTGGCACCTAGTACTTGTTTCCAACATTAGTCTATTTTTTAGTCCTTGTAAAGAACCAAATTTTGTCTTTGTTGATCTTTTCTATTGTCTTAATTTTCTTTTTCATTACCTTTTGCTTTTATATTTATTACTTTCTACCTTCCTTTTAAACAACAGCTTTATTGAGATAAGTCACAAAGCCATACAATTCACCCATCTGAGTGACACACTTCAACGGCTTTTGTTACCTTCACAGAGTTCAATCATCAACACCATCAATTTTAGTACATTTTCATTAACCTAGAAAGAAACCCTGCACTCCTTAACTATCATTCCCCTACATCCAATCCTTTCCCTCAGCTTGAAGCATCCATGAATCCACTTTCTGTTTCTATAGATTTGCCTATTCTGGTTATTTCATGTAGGTGTAATCATATAATATGTGGTCCTTTGCCACTCGCTTTTTCACTTAGTATCATGTTTTCCAGGATCATCCATGTAGCATGTCTCAGTATTATGTTTCTTTATTGCTGCATAACATTTCATGGTTTGGATATATGACATTTTGTCTATCCATCAGTTGATAGACTTTTGGATCAGTTGTTAGACTTTGGGATCAAAACTTTTGGTCCACTTTTTGGCTATTATAAATAATACTGCTGTGAACACTCATATAAAGTTTTGGTGTGGACATTTTCATTTCTCTTGGGTACCTACCTTCTTTCTTTTGGCAAATTCAGTTGTTCCTTTTCTAACTTTTTAGGATGCTTACCTCACATAATTTTGGCATTTTCTTTTGGTGGAAATTGACAAGCTGATTATAAATTTATGAGAAAAAAGTGCTACAATTAACTAATAACTGGAGAATGCCTATTGTTTTAAATCATGCATAGAGTATTTATACTATTGGCTCTAAAGCAGGTCTCAAGAAATTTCAAGGAATTGGAATCATATGAACCATATTTTATTACAATGCAATTAAGGTAGAAACGAAATTTTGAAAAGTTAACCAAAAATATCCTATACATTTGAAAATCCGAAGGAGACACTTAGACATAATTAATGAGAAAAGATTGAAATTACATTCACATGTTGCATAACATTTTGATCAATGGTGGACTGCATGTACAATGGTGGTCCTATGCAATTATAAAATCCTATTTTCACTGTACCTTTTCATGTTTAGATGTACAAATGCCATCATGTCATAATTGCCTGCAGTATTTATTACCCTAATCTGCTGTAGAGGTTTTTAGCCTAGGTGTGTAGTAGGCTATGCCATTTAGGTTTGTGTAAGAACATCCTATGATGTTCAGACAACAATAAAATCGGCTAACAACAGATTTCTCAGAATGTTTCCCTGTCATGAAATGGCACACAACTGTACAATTATAATTTAAAAACAAAGAACTTGCTGGAAATATGGTTGGGATTGCTTTGAATCCAGAAAACATAAACATTTAAGTTTTCTTCTAACCATATTTTAGCCGCATCATATATATATATATATATATATATATATATATATATATGTTATATACATACAATATATAATATATAAATAAATATAAATGTGTATTTATGTATTTATATATAAATATACATAAAACATTTATATATACATATACATAAAAATATATACCATATATATATATATGAGATATATATTTTTATATATATGTGTGTATATATATATATATATTTTTTTTTTTTTTTGGACACCCAGGTTGGAGTGCAGTGGCGCTATCGTAGCTCACTACAGTCTCCTACTTCAGTCTCCTGAGTTGCTAAGATTACAGGCATGTGCCACTGTACCTGGCTATTTCTTTTCTTAATTGTAGAGACAGGGCCTTGCTGTGCTGCCCAGTCTGGCCTTGAACTCCTCGGCCCAAGTGGTCCTCCTGCCTCAGCCTCTCAAAATGCTGGGATTACAGGCATGAGCCACTGCACCTGGCTTGCAGCCTACAATTTTTGCTAAAAGCGTTTTCATTCTTATTTAGATCTAAATATTTTTAAATTATCTTTATAATTTCTGCTTCCTGTGAATAGATCTTACATGTCTTTGCTTTGATTAATTCCTTGGTATGTTTTTGAAGCTACTGGACATAGCTTCAGATTTTTAGAACTCTTTGTTATTGATGGTATGTAGAAATAGAGTTTTTTTTTGTATATTGACTTTCCAATCCTTTTCCGCTTTTCCTTTGTCTTCCTTACTGTTCTGGCTAAGGCCATCAATATAATGCTAAAACAAAAATCATGTTAGTGGGCATATTTGTCTGATTCCCATTTCATAGGGAATGTGTTCATGTTTTCAACATTTTATCATTAAGAATGGTGTTTGTGGTAGGTTTCGTTCTGTGGATATTCTTTACCAAATTAATATTATTGTTTATTTCGATTCTCAAATTGTTCTAGATTTGGCTAGCAGGAGCTCTTCCAGGCTAGCTCTTCAGTTTTTGACATGTTTCCATCTTTTTGTTTTTTTTTTTTTTTTTTTTTTTTTTTTTTTTTTTTGAGCTATTTCTCTCTTACCACAAGGTGTTAATCTTGTACACACTCTGTACAGCCCTGGAATCAATTTATTCCTCTTAGTGAGAAGTGGTATTTAGAATCTTAAGTTGCAAGGGCTATGGATATGGCTTTGCTTCCAGGTCCTCTCAATAGTCTGAGCTAGGAAATATATTTGTTCAGATAAATTTATTTATTTATCTAAATGTATCATCTATCTAAACATATCTATCTAAATATAGCTATATAAATATCTCTCTAGTTCTCTTATCTATATATCTAAAACCATATATTCTAATACCTGCAATTCCAGTTCACAACCACAGAATACTTTCCAGAGTTTTCTCTTTTTCTAATTATAACTCTTTTCCCTAATGGTGAAAATCCTGGTTCCATTAATGTCAATAAGCTAGCTCATTTCCTTAGGCTAGAATGTATAGAAGGTAGTTTAAGGGTTCCTAAATATTTTTAAATTCAGGTGTTTATCTGCTTCCTCTTATGGCTTCACATCACTGAGCATTTGTGCTGATCATCCTTGTGGAGCTTCCTCTCTGTCTTTTAGGTGTCTTCAGACTTGTTGCTCATGGAGGCACAATTCAGATTATTAGAGCACCCTGAATGTTAAGAACTGTTCAGATGATAGGAGGAAAAGCATCTAAACTCTGTGGCTTGGCTGTGAATTCCCTTCCAAGCACGTGGAGTCTGTCATTACCTTGTCAAGATACCTGGAGGAGGCCTATCCTGTCGCTGATCTCCCTGAACTATCGCACTCTCCATGGCAAGGATTATTGTTAACTCATCTTGGTCTTTTGAGGAAGATTGATGTATTCACATGAAAACAAGATTGATTTTCATTTGGAAAGTATATTTTTAACTTTCAGGGCATAACTATTAAAAATATTCACATTTATTAAGAAACCAAATAACATATCACTAAAACCAACTAAATAATGACAAAAGCCCTAAAACTCTTGAATTAAAAGCACATCGTCAATAAACTAAAAAAAAATTTAGAACTGAGTCATCAAGTAAACACTGCATATCAAAAGGAAGCTGCCCTCCTTCCTTTCTTCCTCAAATGTTTCCTCCTCTGTTGCAGCAACGTCTGTCTGCCTTCTTCCTATCCATCTTTCTTTTTTTCTTGTATGTGTGTATTTGTGTTGATTCAGATTCTGAACAATATTTGTATAAGTGAACAACATCAGGTAGGATGGTGCTGCCCATGGGGTAGCAACATTACTAACAGAACAAAAACATTGAAAATATGTTTGGAACAATATGCTCTATAAACAACTATGTAACTACATAAATAGTTGGACTATGAGTTTTGTTAGGGATCATTTTTAAAAATGGAATATATACTTGAAATCTAAACTATTAGCTAAAATTTCAGTATTTCTGGAGCATATTGAATATGCAGTTATGAAGTCATCTCATCTATATTCAACCAATGTTTTGTTTCCTCTAGAGTCTAACTAATGTTAGACAAAATTTTGCTGCATTGTTTTTTTCCTCAAGGACCAATACAGAGAAATGATTTTCTTGTTTAATATTGAATTTAGTTGATGAATGTGAACATCATATCATAATTTTGTTGTCTAATCTCAGTGGCCTTTTGGTTATGAAAAAGAAAAGCTCTGTTTGGTTTGAGCTGAGGACACAGACTTCAGAGAGAGTTGAAGACAATACATGGTGTCTCTGTCCCTGGTGCTTATACCTGTGCCTTTTTTTTACCACCTTGGTTCATATTTTCAGCACTGTGGAAATGATAAATAAGCCAGAAACATTTGCGTAAGGGCAGTCAAGTGACTTCTTGATGTATTTTTTTAAACAAATTAGAATGATTTTTTAAAATTAAATATCTGAAAGTTTTTGTGTAATTTCCAAACTTTTTTCTCCCTTGGCAGAAATAAGAGAGCCAGTGTTAGAAGAGCAGCACAACGGTACCTGATGGATTACTTGAATCCTCTAATATCAACTTATATTAAAAGAAAGAGGTTCCGTCGTGTTTCTCTTGAAGAGATGCCCTGGAGAGCTCAGATGAACCTGTATCTAGCAGGCGCACACTTCAACCTGGTTTTACAAAAGCTGGGGGAGCATGCAAAGATGAAATCTGGCACTTCACATATGATGGTCAGGTATAGTGTATTACTGACGAATAATACTTTTTTAGTTTCATGAGCATGGATTGTATTCGTATGTTCAGAGCTCCAGTGGTGCTAACAACTTAAGGAGGTTTACAGAATGCTTCTATCTTTATACTGGCTACATTAGTCTGTTCTCATGCTGCTATAAAGAACTTCCTAAGACTGGTAATTTATAAAGGGAGGAGGTTTAATTTGACTCGCAGTTCCACTGGGGAGGCCTCAGGAAACTTATAATCATGGTGGAAGGGGAAACAAACATGTCTTTCTTCACATGGTGGCAGGAGAGAGAAGTGCAAGCAGGGAAGATGCCAGATGCTTATAAAACCATCAGATCTTGCAAGAGTCACTCATTAGCATGAGAACAGCATGGGGAAACTGCCCCCATGATTCAGTTACCTCCACCTGGTCCTGCCCTTGACATGTGGGGATTATTACAATTCAAGATGAGCTTTGAGTGGGGACAGAGAGCCAAACCGTGTCACTGGCCATTGGTTTATTTCTTAATTTTTAATCTCAGAATCTTTCCCAATTATATGCTTGGATATAAGTGATAATTTGATTATAGCTTGAATATGTTTGTTGATCTAGCTTTCACTGCAAGGGTAAAATGTAATATAAATTATAGAATAAATGTAGATATTAGGAGGCCTTAGGCAAATGTCTGTTTCATAGAGGCATAGTTGAAGCCTCTATAAACAGAGATCATATTTACTCATCCAATGTCAACTTTCTATCATTAACTGAACAGACATTTTTAAGCTCTTACCGTCTTTGGCTAAGTGCAGTGGGAGATAAAAATAGAAGATACATATATAATATGACTGCTGTGTAACCATTAAAAAGGTGATGTAAAGTCACACATTAAAAAACAATACTTGTTCAGTACCTATTAGATATAAGGCACTGAGCTCGGTGCAGTGGGCATGCAAAGATGAACCAGATGCACAAGTTAGGGTCTGATAGGGTATGTCACAAATGCTCATGAATAGCTTGTAATATATGGTAAAAGGGAAGTACAAATAAAATCTTCTTTGTTACTGGAAGAAGGCTTTTCCTTTGGTTGGAACTAGCAATACACATTTCATGGGGAGGAGCTACAGGGCCTGGGTCTTGATGGATAGGCAAGGTTTAAAAATGTGCAGAGAGGGAAATAGGCATTCTCGATAGTTGGAAGAACATGAATCAGAGCCCAGGTAGAAAACACAGGATGCGAACCCCAAATAGTCTGACCAAAATCTAGGGTGTATGAAAGAGAATGGTGTTCGCATGTTCTCACTCACAGACAGGTACTGAACAATGAGAACATGTGGACACAGGAAGGGGAGCATCACACAATGGGGTCTGTTGAGGGGGACCAGAGGAGGGACAGTGGGGGAGGTGGGGAGGTTGAGGAGGGATAGCATGGGGAGAAATGCCAGATATAGGTGACAAGGGGAGGAGGGCAGCAAACCACATTGCCATGTATGTACCTATGCAACAATCCTGCATGATCTGCACATGTACCCCAGAACCTAAAGTACAATTAAAAAAAGGTAATTATTGGAAAAAAAAAGAGTGGTGTGAAATAATTAGAAAAGTAGGTTGGTACTAGACCATGGTGGGTCTTAAATGTCTATTAATTTGAGTTTTATTTTACATGCAGTAGAAGGTTATTGAGGGTTTTCGAGCAGGGCCATGATAAAAATGTCTGTGGCAGCAACTGATCAAATAGATTGGAGGGAGGAAAGACTGGAGACAAGAACATGAATTAGAGGGTATTTATTTCAGTAATCCAGTGAGGAAGACATGCAGGTTGAAACTCACAATAAACTTGATCCCAGTTTCTGTTTCTCCAGAATTCTGGTTAAGCTTGCTACCAAACTGAACCTTTGCAAAAATATCTCCAGATAGATCCCTTTCCCATGTGGGCTGGACCAGACTGGCATTCAAGAAGCAGTTAGTTTGCCTGACTGACCTGGAAGGCTTTTGGCAAAGGGAGCCATTCAAGGGACCATGACAGGGGAAATGGTTCAGAACAGATGGGCTTCCTTACCCTTCTCTGAACATTGAAAAGTTTCTGGGCTTCCAGTTGTACAGGACCCCTCATGCATGATCACTTGGAAACGCAAAAACATAATGATCAAACCTGCATCAGGATAACTTGGTGCTAACTTCAGTTTTATTAAATCTATTAATCTCAGTATTTGTTATTATTATTTTACTTTCCAGAAGTTATTGGGGTACAGGTAGTATTTGGTTACATGAGTAATTCTTTAGTGAGTATTTGTGAGATCCTGGTGTACCCATCACCTGAGTACTATACACTGTACCATATATGTTGTTTTTTGTATCTCATCCCCCTCTCGTTCTTCCCCCCAAGTCCCCAAAGTCCATTGTATCATTCTTTTGCCTTTGCATCCTCATAGCTTAGCTCCCGCATATCAGTGAGAACATACAATGTTTGGTTTTCCATTCCTGAGTTACTTCATTTAGAATAAGAGTCTCCAGTCTCATGCAGGTCACTGCAAATGCTGTTAATTCATTCCTTTTTGTGGCTGAGTAGCCTTCCAACTATAAATATACCACATTTTCTTTATCTGCTCAATTAATGAGCGTTTGGGTTGGTTCCATGATTTTGCAATTGTGAATTGTGATGCTATGAACATGCATGTGCAAGTTTCTTTTTTGAATAATGACTTCTTTTCCCTGGGTAGATACTCATTAGTGGGATTGCTGGATCAAATGGTAGTTCTACTTTAATCAATGTTATTTCTTTTTAAAAATAAGGTTTAGGCATTAAACAATCTTGCATCAAAAATAATAAATAGTTTTGATGCAAGATTGTTTAATGCCTAGACCTTATTTTTAAAAAGAAATAATGGATTGATTCTCATGCCTGTAATCCCAGCACCTTGGGAGGCCGAGGTGGGCGGATCACGAGGTCAAGACATCGAGACCATCCTGGCCAACATGGTGAAACCCTGTCTCTACTAAAAATACAAAAATTAGCTGGGTGTGGTGGTGTGCGCCTGCAGTCCCAGCTACTTGGGAGGCTGAGGCAGGAGAATTGCTTGAACCTGGGAGACAGAGATTGCAGTGAGCCGAGATCATGCCACTGCACTCCAGCCTGGCACCTG